GCATGCCTGGGTTTGGGGCTCCATCCCTAGTCGGGGGAGGGGGAGATGCAGGAGGCAGCCAATGGGTATTTCTCACTCATGGACGTTTCTATCTCTTTCTCCCTCTTCCTTTCTCTCTCTCTAAAAAATATCCTCTGGTGAGGATTAAAAAATAATAAAAATAAAAAGTTACTAAAAACAAAACAAAACAAAAAAACAGAATAGATGTTTTTACGAATCCTTCTTCAGTCAACATTCACTTACATTGCCCATGCATTATTACTTTCCTTGTTCTTTATTCCTTCTAGGTTTTCATTCTTCTAAGACCATTTTCCTCTTGAAGTACATCCTTTAGAATTTCCATTAGTTCAGTCTATTGGTGACAAACCCTCTTAGATTTGTATGTCTAAAATTATATTTATAATGAACAACATAAACTGATGAACAAAAACAGATCCAGAGATAGAGAAGCATCAATCCAACTGTCAAACCTCATAGAGAAGGCAGGGGAGGGTGGGGGGAGGGGGAGAGATCAATATAAGCATAACCAATGGACACAGACATTAGGGGGTGAAGGCACAAGCCGGGGGGGACGACAATGGGGGGATAAGGACACATGTGTAATACCTTAATCAATAAAGAAAAAAAGTGTGGCGATTACAGGGGTAGAGGGGGATGGGTGGAGGTGGTAGAGGGCATAGAGGGGATAAAAGGTGATGGAAAAAAAATGAAATTTAATTTAAAAATTGAAAAAAAATTATATTTATTTCACTCTCCTATTGAATATTTTCAAGAAAGATACTGTTCTTGGGTTATGAGGTTAGTGTGGGCAGGATCTCACATAAGTATCACCATCTGGACTCTGACTTCCAATGAGCCTAAGCCCTAGTGTGAAGAGCCTGCATGGTCTCAGCTCCTTCAGTGGGAGAACAATGTCTATCTCATCAGGGTTGCCAGAGATGCCTAAAATAGATAATGGATGGGAAATTCCTGGCACAGAGGAGGAGGGCAACTAAAGGTAGCTATTTGTGTTTCAACTGAAAGCTTTAACTCCTAAATTTCAGATTTTTTAAGGTGAGTAAGTGAAAATGAGGAGGTTAGGGTGGGTTCTAATCCAGTTTGACTGGGGTGCTTATAAGAAGAGGAAATTTAAATATCAGGAGTGGGCACACAGAGGAAAGACCTTGTGAAGAGGCAGCAAGAGGGTGGCCATCTGCAAGCCAAGTAGAGAGGTCCCAGGAGAAACCAATCCTGTAGGCAACTTTAATTGGATTCTAGCCTCCAGAACTGTGAGAAAAGTAATTCCTATTGTTTAAGCCCCACAGTCTATGGTACTTTGTCATGGCAGCCCGAGCTAAGACATGGAGCCACTGGCTTCATAGCCCATTCACTCCAGACAGCTCTGCATACTGTTTTCATGGAGTTTTTCCTTCTCTGGGTCCAAGTCCAGCAGAGGCAAAGTCTTTTCCAGAGCTCAAGAAATAACCACCTAGCAACTTATCCTTGAACCAGGAAATGGAAGAGCTACGTTATGGCAGAAAACTGTGGTTCAGAGCTCTAGTAAAATTGTGTTTAATTTCTCACAC